GATGCCTCTGTCTGTCCAACGAACTTAACGGTGGAGTCGTCGACAAAAGCTGATAAAAGCAAGCGGTTGTCGCTTGATCTGTTGTGGGTCGAAAGTAATAAGGTTCAACCCCCGCTTACTCCGCTTCGCGAATACCCGAAACGCGTCGCGTCGCGCTGTCACATGTTCGAGGTCACACGTATTGCGCCACACTCCAGACGCGTCCGTCTGACCGACTCGCCACTTGTTCTCAAAGTCGTAAGGATTCACGCTAACTATGCAGCTTACAGAAGGCGAGGACATTATGATGGAAGAGGAGGCTGTCCCTCAGTGGCCGTCGGCGAAAGGCAAAGGGAAAGCAAGGTTGGAGCAGACCGACCCTGCACCAGAAGCAGACAACTTGCCGTGGTGAGTGCATAAGCAGCGCGTCAAGGGGTCTCTTGGTCATTGTTATCACAAGGGTTGAGAAGTACAGACCGGTTACTTTGGACGACGTTGTATCACACAAGGACATTACAACTACCAGTACGGAGCCACAAGCATGCTCATGCCGGCCTTCTGCTGACTCAACCTGCACTAGTCGAAAAGTTCATTGAGAAGAATCGGCTTCCGCATTTGTTATTCTATGGCCCACCAGGTACAGGAAAGACGTCAACTATTCTGGCGGTGGCACGGCGAATATATGGACAAGACTTCCGCAAACAAATCCTAGAGGTATGGACTGCTGTATGCTTGTAATCGTTATTCTCCGCTGAAGAACGAGAACCAGCTGAATGCGTCAGACGACCGTGGTATAGATGTCGTCCGAGAGCAAATCAAGAATTTTGCCGAGACGCGTACTCTGTTCTCCAAAGGCTACAAGTTGATCATACTCGATGAAGCGGACATGATGACGACAGCTGCCCAGGCAGCTTTGCGACGTGTGATCGAGCAGTACACAAAGAATGTGCGATTCTGTATCATCTGCAACTATGTGAACAAGATTGTCCCTGCCATACAAAGTCGATGCACTCGCTTCCGTTTCTCTCCATTGCCCATGAGTGAAGTCGAGAAGAGGCTGAGCGGGGTCATTGAGGCTGAAGGGTACGTCTAGTCTGGATCATAACTGCACTGTCTTGAATACCCAGACTTCATATAGAGTTAAATTAACGGACGATGGTCGCAAGGCGTTACTGAAGCTTTCGAAGGGAGATATGCGACGAGCGTTGAACGTCCTTCAGGCTTGTCACGCTGCTTATGACCTGACCGGCGAAGCGGAGGTATACGATTGCACCGGGACGCCACACCCTGCCGACATAGCGACTATCGTCAACTCGATGTTCGCGGATGAATTCACGACATCATATAAGAGTATGCACCACTGTTCGAGTTGGCGGAACCGGGCTGACTGTTAGTGATAGTGATATCGACGCTGAAAACTGAACGAGGTCTGGCACTGCAAGATCTTCTGAACGGGGCGTATGAGTATATCGAGGAGCTTGAATTCAAGCCTCACGCTCGGATTTACTTGTTGGATTCCCTTGCGACTACAGAGTAAGTACTCGCGCATATCTTCCTTCTCTACGTGCTAAATGTAGGCCTAGACACCGACTGGCTGCTGGTGGTAACGAGAAGATTCAGCTAACAGCTCTGCTTGGCGCATTCAAGAATGCTGTCGAGTTATCAGCACGATCTTGATTTCTTGAATGTCTGTTATTCTCCCTGCTCGCTGTGCCATTGCTATCGCTTGTTCTATCGTATGTTCCTTTTCCCTATTATAAATCCCTCGCGATTTTGAGTCGACGCCCAATATCTATCGTACGACAGCCTGACGTTGTTTCCCGGGAGTTGGTTCCTGACCCCAGTGGGAATCGAATTGGCTCACGCATTCAGCGAGAATAAATGGGATTATCTGCTCATCCCGGTTTTTTGGCCTGGATATCACCATACTCCAAGTGTTCTCAGAATCGATGCTTGGTACTCGACGTTGCGTGAGACGGTTTATGATGGGCGACTGAAGTAGTCCATGTCCGGTGACCGCAACCATAGGTGTAGTATCACTATTGCCAGGATGGTCATCATTCTTAGAGATAGAAAGTGGGCAGTCGGGACATACCCTGCTAACGCCCCCATGATCTCCTCGAATACACGAAGTGTGATAAAGCCTCTCCACTGAATGTGCGCAACGTTAGCGGTCTGAGAGCCTGGTGGCGCTTCGTAAACCGCAATGTAAGGATCCGGATTGTCATGACTCTGCAATCTATCAAAACCTTTGCTGCAGCGTATTGACATTAAAAATATTGTTTGTGGATTTACCTTTGGGAGCCGAGACACGCCATGCCCACCCACTCAAATAAGGCAGACATCTCATCCACCCAGTCCTCCCGTTCATCTGCACTGGAGGGTCGCTGCGTGATACTCACGACCGGGACGTATATATGCTGCATTATCCTCACGGTAGGTTGCATGATGTGAACCTGGCCTGCTTCATGCGAGTCCGACATGCCTGGCCCATCGTAGTCGTATACGACGTCCCATCGCCCCCTTCTTTCATCCCATGTTTTGAAGGCGGTCCTGAGCTTCGGGGAGAGTTTAGATAGTTCTTCGAGGGTGAAAGAAAACCCTGTATATGACATCGAATGCGGTCAGACATAGTGAATGATTGTGACGCACAGTGTACATCTTTATGTTGCTTCCAAGGCATAGCAGTACCCGTCTTGAAGAACCTCTGGTACGTCTCTGTTCCCATTGTGAGCACCAGCCTGTCCTCGTCCAGACACCACGCATCGTTGTCGCTTGGCCCTGGCAGACCAACTCCAGTGAGAGCCCTGAAAGCTCTAAAGAGAGGTGTTTTGTTCGGCGAATAAAAGGATTTAGAATGATGGACAGTTGCGTACGTAGTTCCAGCTTCTCCCTGAATGGAGTGAGCACGCGAACGCATCTTCAGCGCGAAGTCGATGAAGTCGTACAACTTCCAGTGTTGTCGGTGGTATGTAAAGGCCAGCTTGCTCATGACGTTTTGCAGGTCCGAACCTGGTGACAAGGGAAACACGACATCTATCTGGACACAAATTTAGCTATGAGTCAAAGTATTGGTATCGACAGATAGCTATTGCGACCTGCTGGCTGAAGCGAAGCGGAGAGCCGTACTTCTTGTCCACTTTTTCACCCAGATGAGGTAAAAGGTTGCCAGTGGTATAGACCACTCGTTTAGGGGCTGGTGAAGGTATCTTCATTTTGCTAGGACGCGTAGATCGAACCTATGTTCTTGAAACGAGCACTGGCAGAGCGGTGGCGAAGGGCGTGGCCACAGTGCTTCGTGAGCTTAGTTATACAATGAGTGATAGCCCGAAGCTTGTACTTACTATCAGCTTTTAATGTGCCCACGTCAGCTGTAGTGATGGAACGAGTTCAAGCCAGAATTGACCTTCGCACAGAATTTGTGTACACTCGTAGGTCCCAAGTACAGTATGGACGCGCCGCTGCTTTACTCGGACACAACATGATCACCCCTTCCACGTCATAGCATCCGTCCCCATCCTTTCTGCTCTGTTCCCCAACTGTGTGCACACCTTTTTCCTTCCTAAATCCCCGCCCTCGTCCCATGCTGTCCTCTCATTATCGAGGAATCAAATTTTCGACTTTAGTAAGGGCCTCCGGCTTCAAACGCTCTCCGACGGCTCGGAGGATGATGTCCTCTCTTCCCGAGTTGCAAGCGGGCAATATTCAGGTCATCGAAACGGTCGCTGCGTACAGAGAATGGCGCAGGAGGGCGTATGAGGAGCGAAAATCGGTGGGATTTGTAGCGACAATGGGCGCGCTGCACGAAGGACATGCCTCCTTAGGTGTGTACAAATCTTAAAGAGTCTCATGCACACGCTTTTCTGATCACATTCTCTCGGACATCACAGTGAGAAGGTCGCTAGAAGACAACGACCTTACCGTCGTCTCCATATTCGTTAATCCAGCTCAGTTTGCCCCTCATGAGGACCTTGCGACCTACCCGCGTACGCTCCCGCACGACCTCTCGGTCCTGCGCTCTCTGGCGGTGACAGCACTCGCCCCTCTTTCGCCGGAGGGCCTGCCAGTGACTCGAACGCCGAACGCGGTGTTTGTTCCATCCGTGAAAGAGATGTACCCGTCTGGCATTTCGCAGGACGTAGGGGATCAACGCGGGACATTCGTGGAGGTCAAAGGATTCAGCCACCAGATGGAGGGGAAGACGCGCCCGACGTTCTTCAGAGGGGTGGCCACAGTTGTGACAAAGCTGTTCAACATTATAGAGGCATGGTTTCCTATGGAGGTCAATTTGGGACGAGGCTGAGACTGCCTCCGTTTCTCATGCAGCCTACCCGAACATATTTCGGCCAGAAGGACATCCAGCAAGCATTGCTCCTTCGTCGGCTTTCGCGCGATTTACTTTCATCGCATCCGACCCCAGAAAACCTGCGTATCGTGCCTACTTCGCGGTATGCTGCGTTCTCTATTCCTTTCCATAGTTATTGCTGACTGAGACAAACTGCCTCTACTCAGTGACCCCATAACAAAACTTGCGCTATCCTCGCGGAATGCGTACCTAACACCATACGAGCGCACGCATGCCGCGCCTCTCCTCCAGGCCGCTCTCCAAGCCGTCCGATCTGCATGGGAGGACCGTGGGCTTTCAAAAGGGCAGAGCATATCACTCGCACAAGACCTTGTGACCTCGAATGCACAGCAGCTCTCCGAGGAAGGTCTTCCGGTGGACATCAAACTGGATTACATCGAGATGAACGATCCAGAGACATTTGACGCGCTCTCGGACGATGTGACACGCTCAACGTGGGAGAGGCACACGCCACGGAGGCCTGTGATCCTAAGTGGGGCAATGTGGGTAGGTAAGAGCAAGACGAGGCTCATTGATAACCTCGTGTTGGGAGATGCAGAGTCTGTGGGTATACTGTCGAGGTGATTTATGGGAGATTCTGTATTTAAGGTTAGCTGAATGATCAAATTCTCTTTATATATCACTTGCGAAGCTGGTCTGGTGGTGATGCTGGGTTATGCGTGTAGCTCAGTCTGGTAGAGCGCAAGTCCGACCCACTTGAAGGCGTAGGTTCAACTCCTATCAGGTATAACCCAGCATCGCCTTTTTCCGTGGCTGAAGAACTGACAGTATGTCACACAGGATGAGATCCATAGCTCCTCAATGAATGTCATTATCGAGGTGCACAACCGGCATTCACGGCGGAACAAATAAAGCAGTTTGATTGCAGTACTTCATAATAGTGGGTACGTACGGTCTACATGAGACATACATAATGTCCTGGCTTTCGTTGGTCCTCGCGCCACTCGTTGAGGCACCAAGCCTGCTCGTAAAGCAACTACAAAGGGAACGCACCGTTGGAAGTACTGACCGAAGAATGACCGCTGACTGCTTAACAGATTCATGATACCGTCCCGGTGATGGTTGTGGTAAACAGGGCACGAGGGGAGAGCGTTTTGATTTTGGGCTTCAGACAGCTAGCCGTACCTCATATAGACCCTTTTTTACGGCGCACCGTGCTGGCCAGGGTTACCTCACTACACCGCCAGGACAGCTGCTGCGGTCTGCTTCGCGCGTGGTGATGCGAGCCATAAGGGAGCCATAAGGAATACGTACGAGCTGCATTCACATTCACAACTTGGCCAGAGTGCTATCTCGAGGGACCCGAGTTGCCGCTTGTGGTGGTGGCCGCAGGAGACCAAGAGTGGCCGAGGTCAACTCGTGCATCTGAAGCACCGGTAGCATAGCCTCCATAGCATGCATGTTTGGAGGTCGGAAGGGCAAGACAACCTATGCTTTTCCGGTGTCGGCGCCGTGCTGACAACGATGTTCGGAGGCAGTTCGCGAGCCTGAGTTGTGGCGAGATGATGGTTCGAAGAGACCGCGAAAGGGAGAGCTGTCGTCCGACTTGCACAAACCGCCGGCTACTTCGTCTAGTCACCTGCCACATGCATCCGTCAGTGAACTGCATGAAGGTGCGTTGCAGCAAGACGAGCATAGCGTGGCCCAATAAGAGAAAGATGGTTGGGACAAGGATGATTTTGATGAGCATGGGCACACGATCAACAGCAATCGTACCACGTAAATAAATCAAACAAATCTCGTTCGACAATCTTAAATTCGCGCTATTTATTATCCTCAGCCTCGACCACTCTCTTGCCAGCTCACCCCCTTCCATCCCTCTCTTCTCCCAGCCGTCAGACCCATCCCTCTCACCGTTAAACACCATGACCATCCCCCTGAACGGTAGCGCCCACGACCTCGACTCTACGCCACGTCCCAAGGATGTCGGTATCCTCGCAATTGAGATGTACTTCCCCCGCAGGGTGAGTAGAAAGGGAATCAATGCCACGAAGCAGGTTGCTAACCCAGTTTGCACCAGTGCATCTCTCAAGAAGAGCTCGAGGAGTTCGATGGCGTCTCCAAGGGCAAGTACACCATTGGTCTCGGACAAAAGTTCATGGCCTGCTGCGACGACCGCGAGGACATCAACTCTTTCCTTCTGACCGGTATGCTGAGCCCTACTCCACTGCTCTTTTCTTCGCCTCTAATGAAGCTTAACAGCTGTGCACAACCTTCTCGAAAAGTACAACGTTGACCCCAAGTCCATTGGTCGCATTGACGTCGGAACGGAGACCGCCGTTGACCTGTCGAAAGCCTCGAAAACTTTCCTTATGGACCTGTTCGCCTCGCACGGAAACACGGATATCGAAGGTGTCGACTCCAAGAACGCCTGTTATGGTTCTACCGCTGCCCTCTTCAACGCTGTGAACTGGGTCGAGTCCTCGTCATGGGATGGACGTAACGCTCTCGTCGTCTGTGGCGACATTGCCATCTACGCTGAGGGCTCTGGACGACCCTCCGGAGGCGCTGGTGCTTGCGCTATGCTGATTGGCCCCAACGCCCCTCTTGTCCTTGAACGTGAGTGTTTATATAGTGCCCGGCGAAAGCAATAATACTAAATTTTATTTTCAGCCGTACATGGTACCCACATGGTTCACGCATACGACTTCTACAAGCCCAAGCTCGATTCCGAGTATCCCGAGGTTGACGGACCCCTCTCCATCACCTCTTACACTTCCGCCGTCGACGCTGCTTACTCTGCATTCAAGAAGAAGCACGCGCTCAGGGCGAAGAGGGCCGGCAGCGAGGCACCCGCCTTCTCACTGGAAGACGTCGACTACCCCGTCTTCCACAGCCCGTACGGCAAGATGGTGCAGAAGGCGCACGCCCGTCTCGTCTGGAACGACTTCATCTCGAACCCGACTCACCCGAAGTATGCCTCCGTCCCCAACCCCTCCGCCGTCATCGAGCAGGACTACAAAGCCTCCCTGCTCGACAAGAACCTCGAGAAGACGTTCATGGGCATCGCGAAGCCCCAGTTCGACTCTGACGTCGAGCTCGGCATGAAGTGCTCGCGCCGCTGTGGCAACATGTACACCGCCTCCCTGTACGGCGGTCTCGCCTCGCTCGTGTCGAGCGTCGAGCCGAGCGAGTTCTTGGGCAAGCGCATCAGCATGTTCGCGTACGGCAGTGGTCTCGCGAGCAGCTTCTTCACCATCAAGGTCAAGGGCGACACGACCAAGATCAAGAACGAGCTCGACCTCGTGAACCGCCTAGGCTCGATGAAGGTCGTGCCGTGTCAGGAGTACGTCGACTCGCTCAAGCTCCGTGAGCACCATCACCTCACGAAGTCCTGGGCGCCGTCTGGCTCTGTGGAGAACATCTGGCCGGGAGGCTACTACCTCGAGAACGTCGATGGCAAGTTCAGGAGGACGTACCTGCGCAAACCGAAGGATACCGTCGTTGCATAAGTCTCGTCGTTTCAGTCCTCGCTGTCTTGCTGCATCTGCTTTCCCTTACCATTGGCTCGCACTGAAATATAGATATAACATGCAACTCGCGTCTGTACAACTAGTATAATTCTACCCATGGATGCATATCATGATAATACATACCATTTCAAACACGTTAACGCTGAGAGTGAATTGCTTGAAGTGTCATAGGGATCGTACATATTTGCGGAGAAAACGCACCTATACACCGAAGGTGGTTCGGGTAATTTGAAAGTGTGGCACAACTGTATTTCGAAGAGGATCTGGCATGAATTTGTCACAATGGCGTGCATATGGCATATCAAGGTGCTCTCCTTTACAGTAGTGGGTTCAAGTAGCAAATAAACACTGCTGAGCGTTTTCAGCACCATCACATACAGTTTTGGTTTTCCATCTTCACAAACGATTTCGCTACTCAACTTCGAGGCAGGTTCCAGCAGAATATTGCTATGTTATTTATTGTGTAGTAGTACATGTAAAAACAACAGCTCTAAAGTATGTACAGGAATATGAAGCGCTGTTCAAATGGGTATGAGAGAGTTTCAGTGCGGACTGGTCGTTCAAATTCAATAGCCAGTACGAAGTTACTATACGAGGCTTACACCGACTTCACGTCGAACGACGGCATGCCACAAGAAGCAAGGACGTGCGCGCACTACCGTGCGTCGCAGAGCACAAGTACACAAAAACGCGCAAGGACAATAGATAAGAAGCAGCGGTCCCGAGACGGCACAACAACAAAAGGAAACACAAAAAAACTGTTCAACGCCAGTACCAAACGAACGTCATGCAGCAGTGAAGAGCACGTGAGGTGGGAAAAACAGGGAACAGGACAACGCTTTGAAAAAGGGCACAGAAGAAATGAGGGAAAAAAATGAGTTTGTCAGATGATATGATATTGCACAGGTGAATTAATTGTGACAGTAAGTATACCGGTCAACACTTCGACAAGATGGGTCAAGAGACGTTGGGTGGTGAGAGAGAAACGGATGACAGGGAGAGGGCGGAGAACAGGGGGAGAGAGACGGGACGAGACGAGACGATATAATAATAAACCAAGTGCGGATGCATCGTGTTGGGGTGAGCGTGTAGGGGATTGTGGTACCGAAACATATATGCTTGATGGGGATGGGTGCGTGGCGGAAAAAAATGTGTGAGCGGTATGAGTGTGAGTCGGAGTGATGCGTAAGGGGGCAAAGGCCGGTTGCGCAGGGATGCAGGAGACAGTGCGGGGGCTACAGGTATGCAGAGGGAGGGAGAGAGCAGTTGGTGGTGTACAGCCGAAGAAACGAGAGCTGGCTAGGGCAACAAGTCGGGGGTGCGAGAGAGAGGGGGGAGGGGAGAGAGGCAGGGAGGAGGATGGTATGATACAACGCGTATTCACAGCATATAATCCTACACCGCGTTCCATATGGAACCGAGGAACCCTCGCGCCTGCGCCACGATCTCTGCAGCGCGGCCCACCAGGCCTGGCGGTGGCTGGTGCTCGTCCGCGACGACGACGACAGCGCGCTCGGGACTTCGGACCTGCTTGGGTGGATTCCGCGTCGTCGGCGAGCTGGGTGTAGCCTGCGCTTCGGACGGCGAGGTGACGGGTGCAGAGGGGCGGGACTTGGGCGGGGTGACGTGTAGCTGGATCGCTGGTGGGTGGTGCGCACCAGCGGTCGGCGCGGGGGAAGACGGCGACGGCGACGGCGGATGAAGTGCGAGCGCGCGGACGGGCGAGTTGGCGGGCGTGGGCTGCCTCGAGCGTGTCTCTTCCTCCTCTGGTATCGGCGAAGGGATGGCAAACGACGGCGCGACGCGCTGCTGCGGGACCACAGGCGACCGACCCCGTCTATCCTCCTCCTCTGGCTCCGGTTTCGCCGTAGCACCCGTCGCTCCACTGGCAGTAGACGACCCCGATACCGACGACCCCGACACCGACCGCGCAGACGACGGCAACACCGTCTTCTCCATCACCGGCGAGTATCCACTGAACTCATCCCTCGGACCCCTAGACGGCGACCCCACCAAGCTCGGCGGACTCAGACTATCCGCAATCCTCCTCCCCGTCCTCTCGCGTCCCCGTTCCTCCTCTACAGGCCCCAACGATCCCCTTCTCGACGCCCTCGCCCCTGCACCCTCCCGATCCCGACTCCCATACGACCCATACCCCACTACCCCGATCCCAATACCCACCGCAGAGCCCGTCGGCGATATGCTCCCCAGCGGCGAATTCGTACCTCGACTCGAGCGCGAGCGCGAGCGTTCGCA